GTTTGTACCTCTAGCATAACTCCACCAAAAAACAGTAGACACCATACATGATGTTTGTAAAGCAGGCAACCTGAGATGAATATCTTTATATATATAACAATGGAACCGGCTGTGGAATACTTGTTCCCGCCTAAACGAATTATGTTTACATAGTGCACCTCACGTGCAACACAAATGGAGAAAATCGAAAAAAACTAACAAGTTATTATGACATTTGTTATGTAAAATTAATGTTCCCACGGCCAAGACCCATCTTCACACGTTTCACCGGTTGGCCATTTCCCACTAAACCGTATGGAACCGCCGCTGCACATACAAATCGTTATTAGAACGGACTGCTTCCCAACCTCATACTACAAGTATTTGCATTACTACAAATTCACTGTCCATTATTCAACATAGGTCAGGTCAAGACTTGCAAACTGCTTTAATATATTCAACAAAATATCATCTCAATATTCAAGCCTTAGTACGTAAATATAGTGAATGAAGTCTAGCGGCTTACCTTAACTTATAATGTTTTCAAATCAATACTTGAGCACAGTAAATAATCCCTCTTCCCTTGAGTTTTTTAGTTCTGCCATAGCCAACCAAAAGATCTCACAATCCTCAATCTCAAGTTTATTTGCATGTAGTGGCTGCAACACATAGCCTATATACACTTCAAAGGGATCATTTCTTATGCATACCACTAATTATAAACATAACCAAATATCATATGGACATATGCATAACACACTGAATTTAAAAATTGAATGGATGTACTTCATTATTTGAAAGGTTTATACTTCATTTTACTCCGTAAAAATTGAATGGATGTATACAGATGTCTTGATTTCGCATATCAAATATTTGGTAAACATGACAAACTCATTAAAATTTAGGGATAATTTGAGTTTGCACCCCATATCATTGTTTAAATTGGATTTTGCACCCCGTTTTTAAAAATCTTTGTTTTTGCACCCCAACCCCATATGAAAAGACAAAAATGTCCCTCCATTATCAATTCTGTGACCTTCAACATATTCCTGGTTGAGGTCATTTTTGTCTTTTCATGTGGGGTTGGGGTGCAAGAACAAATATTTTTAAAAATGGGGTGCAAAGTCCAATTTAGACAATAATGTGGGGTGCAAACTCAAATTACCCCTAAAATTTATATATCACACGCATTCGTAAATGCATTTTATATTTGATGGTGGTTACCGTTTAAGTAAGATACACCACATTTGTGTTTTCCTGTAATAAGATAGTCATCATTTAAGCAGATGTTACAATATGTATTTCCATTTTCAAAAATTGAGTAGATTACTCAACCATTTCAGCCAAATTACCCTCCATATACCAAGCGTCTTTTAAAGTCCCTTTTGAAGGGAACAAAACTAGCTTTCTCACAAGCCCAAACAATTTTAGATAACAAAGAGGGCAATACATGAGTTACTTTTTTAGGAGAAATAGCTAAACATATAAAATTGATACTTTGAGCATTAGAAATATTAGATACTTTTTAATTTAATAAAAACTCCTCAGATTGTTGCTAACATTTAATGTTATGATCACATAATTGGTTTTGTGTTAACCCTAGACGAAGACAGATCGAGCGAAACATCGATTATACGATATAGGAAACAAACAAGGAACATGTAGAATATGATTGAAAACACTAAATATCCATTTAATCAATCAAAACAAAAAAAATTGGCTACTAAGAACTAAATATAGATATTTAGCATTTTATCCATGTTTCAGTCCTATTTTAAGCAATTTTTAAAGATTTATTAGTTAGCTTTGAGGCTCCAACTTCTCAATGAAAATGTGGAGCTAGAATAGAACGGTCCGGACTTTCATACTCATCTTTATAGCTAACATGTCTAATTTTGATAATTTTATAATGAGAAAACAACTTTCCATGCATGTAAACTTTTGTAGCTAACATATAAAAAATATTGACAAAGCTCATACCCAAATATCTTCATAAAAAAACAGAATATCATGTCATATTTTAGTTCATAAATCTATGCATCCTTCATAACAATGCTAAATAATAGGAGTAACCGTATATTGCACAAGTAAAAGTGCTTCAAATTTCAACGTGCTAAATAACTTTTTCGATGAGCCCGTAATAATGCTAGATTTTTAGTGAGTACTCCCCCAGTCCCCCAGTCTCAAAACTAGCATTTATTTGTTGGTTGATTTTCACAATTTAAAATGTCATTGAGATACGTTTAAGATTTGTATTTGTTACTTTCTTTGAGTTTTATTTGAAGAACGCTCATATCCACATATTCATTTGTACTTCATCATTTCTTTAGTTGAAGCAACAAATATGACATCAATAAAGTTGATTGTCTCATATTACGGTTGATGTCCAAAAATAGAGAATATTACTCGAAATAGGACTAAAAAGATTTGAAAATTCCAAAATAGGACTGCCATATTTTTATTTCCAAAATAGGACTAATTACCAGACTTCAAACATGACAGTATTTTCTAAACTTGACAATAATTACTCCTATTTTGGGAATAAAAAACATGACAGTCCCTAGTTTGGAATTTTCAAACTATTTTAGTCCTATTTCGGGAACTTTCCCCCAAAAATATTACGTAGTATTTGTTTACACAAGTATCGGGTGCTATGACTATTGAATTATATATCCGTATTTTTTGGTAACTCGTGCTCTTTAGATGTCATGGAGCAGAAGTGACACAGTTAAATACAATCGTATTTTTCTTACGTTCTACGTAGTATAATAAAACTAAAAAATATATCTTTTACATGGGTAAAAAATAAGACTGCATGTGTTATAATTTGCTAAATACATGTTTGTCTTAATGTTATCTCAAATTTGTGTTCACCTTTCTAATTAAGAATATTTTCGATTGGATCAATTTATTTTATCTGATCTATGAAAGTAAAAGTTATTTTTTACTTTAGTGTATAGATAATAAATATTAACATAAATCTTGATATTTTTTCGAGTGTTTGAGATCTCTGAAAACTTTATTATTTTCTTGTTCAAAAAAGAGCTTATAAATAAGTTAGACTATGTATAAAGGTTAATTCTTTCACTTATGAATGTAACTTTAATATAGTATTATTTGGTCATAAAATTGAGATTATTTTTCATTTCTAAATATGGAGCATCGTTCTTTTTTATTTTTTATTGCATAGTTTCACCTGTTTATATTTTGATTATTAGCTACCACTTGATGTGAAAATATTTTATAGATTTAATTCAATTGACTTTCTAGGTAAAAATTGAATACTAAAAGTCTAAAGCATGCAACATTTCTTCATTTAGTAACACTTATTTTAAATCAATCTAATGAAAAGTAAATTGACCGCTACTAACCGCGTTATGCAGTCGGCCTGTTGTCGCCGCCATCATCTTCATTAAAGTCAGAATGTCACAAAACTATACGTAGTATATCTTAAACTATTTTCTTAAATAAGGAGATAGAAGGACTAGTTTGCTCAATTCTAAATCCTAGGGCTAATATCTTCAAAAAAATGACCACACCAATTATTAAATAAATAAATTACCAAAAATGTGTAGTTATTAGTTTCGAAAATACAGTAAGCTATGGATGAAATCTAATGGATAAAAATAGTTATTGAGCAATTTCTTCTTCTTTTTTTGTATAGGTAAAGATGGTTGAAAAGACGAATTTAATTTGGATGCAACTGAGAGTTATAAATAAACTGACTCTTCTAATTGGAAAATATAAACTATATTTAGTTAAAAAAAATTAGACACACTCAATAAATAAGAATATGCATTATCAACCAATGTTATAATCGATTTCAAAAACGACTTTCCGTAATATAACTCGTACATATGTAAGTGTGCGCGCACACACATAATAAAACTAAAACAATGCATTGTAAGCATAATTTTGAAAATGGCGCTATTATGAATGCATAATTGTTATAAATATGTGTGGTATTTATTTCTACTTCTGCATAACTTTGTGAAGTCATTTTGGACTTCGATAATGATGACAACACATTGTAAGAGCCATCATTATCGATGGACTTGGGGTACACACTTGTGTACACACTCTTACACACTCGTGTCTGTGTAAGCATTTTTTTGTCTGTCCTAGACAAAATGTATTTATCTGGGAGACAAAAAATATGCCTACACAGACATAGTGTGCACACAAGTGTGTACCATTAGATTTTTTCAATGTTTTCATATAAAATACAACACTCCACATTAAGGCCTGTTTGGTAACAGCTTCAACGGCTGTATTGGCTGAAAATGCTGAAAAGAATTTATATGGTGAAGTGGAAGTGTTTGGTAATATGTTGGCTGAAATGGTTGAATGTGTGTAAAATTACTATAAAAGGTATTAGCTTGTTTGTGTTAGATGTATGAGTGTAAACTTCACTAGTAAATTAATTTTGCTTGATTAGGTTTAATTTTGCTTGATTAGGTTATTATTAGACTGCTTAATTAACTTATGAGTAAATTAATTTAAAATATACACTTTCAAATTTCAATTAAATATTCGGAGTATTAAAAAGCTGACATGTACTTAAATAAAAATAAAATGAAACAAAAATTAAGTATTTAGCATTACTTGTCTACCTGACCACGAAGCTTTTGAACTGAAACACCAAAACAAGTTTTCAAAACTAATGGCGGTACTGCGGCAGATGAGTGAAATGAGTATGTGACTCCAGACATGAATAAAGACATTTACTTTATGTATGGAAGGTAAAATGGTCATTTCGGTTATCAACGGTACAAAAATACAAAACAACTAAAAAAGTAAGTAAGTTGTTTTTTGGTTGATACTACCTCCGTTCCCATTTTAACTTCCAAATGGGTTTGACACAAAGTTTAAGATAATGAATATTGTGTGATGGAGAGTTGTGCAGAGGAGAGAGAAATTTGTAAAAAATGTTGTGAACCACAAATTCTTTACCAAAAAGGGAAAGTGGAAGTTTTAATTGGAACGGACAAAAACAAAGTTGGAAGTTTATTTAGGAACAGAGGGAGTAATAAAAATCAGCCCAAATAGCCAATTGAGCAAGTGTTTTGGTGATGTTTTTATACATTCAGGCTTATGAGCCCATTTTGGGTGCTCCAAACAGCCTCTAAATCAACGGGCGCTCACAAAACTAGTATTGTATATATACACAAGTAATTTGAATTTGAAGTACGAAGTGAGGACTGAGGATAAAGCTACACTGGAACTAGTCTAAGCCATTGATCTCCCTCTATGAAGGTTGTGTCTATGTATTGCCGAGCTTCTTCATCGCTCAAGTTCTTTGACCATGGTACCCTCCTCTCTCTACTTGCTCCAGGACCTCTATTCTGGTATTCTGCAAAGATGGAATTCCTGAAAATGAAGAAAGCAGAGATTCAATTATTTTATCTGTTCAATAATGTTGTGTGATCATCAAACTTGACAAATTATTAGGAGCGAAAATTTTCCACTTTTGGTCCAACGATTATAAGATCATTATGCTTCTGGTTCATCGACTTTCAACTTTGGTTCTTTCTGGTCATCATCTATCCAGCGAAAACCAAGGGGACTTTGTCCAGAAATCACATAATTGGTCGAAAGGACCAATAGTGATGTCCACTAAAGACGGGAAAATGAAAACCCTAAAACCGAAAGTAGAAATTGCTAGAAATTACTTTCTTAAACCAATGTTATTTCTCTAATTTGTTCATACTTTTGCCGAGACAGGATGTTCCAGTCGCTCCATCCAGAAGGAAGTATGACGTCACTGATATCACACTTGGCGTAGACCACTCGAGAAAACTCTCCCCAGGCTCTTCCCAGAAGGGTCTTCCCAAGGCCAGTTATTCTGCAGTTCACAAATGAGTAGCCTGTGTTTTCGCTTGGTGAGTTCCTGTGCTGTGCTGCAATAGCTCCAGGCCCTACTGAATTAATAACACACCCCTGTTTTAAAAGTATTGCATAAGATTTCTCTTTATAATACTGTTTGTAGCACTGTAGATACTAAATTGGGTCTAAATCCTGCAAAAAAGCATGTTTAGGAGAGGTGGGTTTTGCCACATTTACATACTAGACTAGACTAGATGTCAACGTTTTGAGATAGTCCACAGAAACATATGATTTTGATTCTGGAAAAAGGTTGAAGAAATCATTTATTATCAAACCTGATACAGTGATCTGGCATTTCCACAGATGAAATCGACCATCCCTTGAATGTAACATTGGTAAAAATAATGCACCCCGATGTCATCCAGGAGTGTATCTTGTGACCCCAAGAACCTGCATTTGTAGAACACCGCCCTGTCCCCGTTTATGTTCACTGCAACAGCCTGCATTCCTTCACCTCCAGGCCTTGCCACCACTGTGTTCTGAAACATTAATCATTATTATATATTCACAAAGCATTTGGAAAGTTATATTCGATCATATTCGATCACTACCTCAACAGTGATTCCAGTGGCACAGAAATAGTCAGCAAATACTTGGAGGGTGGCTGTCCTTGTAGTCCCTAAAACCCCATCTGAGGCTCTGTCGGATGCCTTGTCGTGCCATGATATGACGGTCTTGGACGGCATATCTTCGTCTCCGATCAATGATATGTATGGCTTTGATGCAGGAATGTGAACCTTTTCTCTGCATTTTCATGTTTTATATTTTAAAGAATAAAAAATGATAAGGATATAGGATGTGGGAGTTGAAAGAATCGTTAACCGCCCACGTTCTTCTTGTTTTGTTTTAGTTTTGGATATTAAAGCAAATAAAAGAGACAGATTTGAAGATTTAAAGGCCCCGAGTGTTTGGTTGCAGTGATCTGCTTATTCTACGTTTTCATAAAATAATACGGAGTATAAACGTACAAGGACTCGTCTTTTAACATCCTTTTATTACTTATCAGTCTTGTTTTGTACCAAAGACTGATTCTAAGCGATTCTGAGTTCATGCACAAATATTGAAAAAAGACAACGGTGAAAGTAGATTGACCAAAGAAGACCATTTTAGTTTTTCTCTATCGAATTTGTTATTTCCTTGTAATAATAAATATATTTTGAATTTTAAACCAATCCAGCCATTCTGTATAACTTTAGGCCTTTAGCAATTTAAACGGACATAATAACGAATTTTATAGTGGATTTTATCAACGGTGAAATTGACCTGACCATAGCTGGTGTAATTGTAAGTGTGTTTTCTCTCGACCAGCAAGTTAAAAAAACTCCCAATTGGACTCGCTAAGTTTTATACACACTTGGATAGATATAAAATACACATTGAACAAATATTAATCAAATCAGTCCAGAATAGACTTCAACAAACCAAACCATAAATTTTAGTCCAATTTAAAATCCCTAAGTGCTTATTCTAGACCATAAATGCAGTCTTCCCATTCTTGCTGGATGCAGTTACTTCTAATGATTTAATTTAATAGAAAAATATATTCACCTGTAAATGCCGGGAAGAATTAAAATTTTGACCCTTTCGTAGTTATATTGAGGCACCAAATCAACAGCACCTTGAATCGTCCGAACGTCCCCTTTCCCATCCTGATCAACCACTATGATTTTGCTCCCATTATTTCTCCCACCATTTTCTCTCAAAATCCCACCATCACTTGCCCTCAAATCATTCCAGGTGATGAATATCTTCTTCTCCACTTTACTGGAATCCAAACGCCTCCCCTCTCCCAACCCCACCAAGAATGCCACAAACATCACCCCTAAGCAGCAACTCATTTATCCCAGGAAAACCAAAAAAAGATGAAGAAGCTAGAATGGAACAAAAAAAGTGATGAAGGCTGTATAAATGGGGAATGGAAAGAGTTGCATGTTATGAAAGGTAGTACCAGTGTAACTGCTAAATGCAGGATCTTTTTAAGGTTTCATTTTTTTCCTTTTCTTTAATTCACATATATATTTCATAGGACAAAAACAAGATGAGGAGATGAGAGGATGTTTGAGTGTGTTTTGAGTTGGATGGAGTGCATGGTTGCATTAAGTAAAGCAAAGGAATTATGTCATGGGATTTTAATAAAGGTGCAGATTCTTGGAATGAGGGAGGTTTTGTTGAAGAGTAGTTATGAAACTCCAAGAGGTTTCATTTCCTTCCCTCCTCACCCCTCTCTTTCTCTCACTCTCAAATGGAATGGAATATATATATAATAAAAACGTCTAAAGCTCAAAAGGGATTCTTTTTAACTCTTTTTATACTACTGCCGATTATTACTGTATACAACTCCAGTAACGGTGTCTGGATTTACGTGGCAGGACTTTAGGGTCACGTGCTTAGTGATAACCGGCGCAATTTTCACAAATTAATAATGACATTTTGACATTATCATGAATAACAAAAATAATAATAGATCTTCTAAAAAACATAATAATATTAATTATGATTATTTATAAAGATTATTTTTATTAAGATATATCAATGACATTTTCTGGTCTCAAACAAATACAGAGTAGTATATACGTATACACAGACACTCACACCACGTTAAAAAAATAGTCTTCATTTCATTTGCTTGGTAAAAATGTCATCATTGATGCCTTTAATAAACTTAAGTAATTATTATAGTAATATTGGAATCATTTGACAAGAAAGAAGTATGAGCTGTAGTAATTATAGTAATGTTGGATTTACTTGACAAACATGAAGTGTTATGTAATATGTATACCCCTTAACATATGCATATATCATTTTTTGGTAACAAATAAGGCCCACAAAAATTGAATAAATAATACATGGAAAAATAACTAATATAGATACTGATGGGAAGATTACTTTATACAAACTAGACTCCATATAAGAATGACTTTAAACATTCACATTCAAGCTTACATTGGGATTGAATCTGGGGTGGAGACGAGAGGAGGTTGGCCGGGTCTCTCTAAGAAAAAAATTGTGATGTATATATATACATATATATAAATATTTATAAACGGTAAAAATTATTGTAACATTTTAAATTTTGGCCCCCCAATATGAATTTATTAAGGAAAAACTTTACAAATAAAACACAAACATATGAAATTTCCAACATTAGGACTCTAAACATGTGTAGGACATGAGTAAAACTGCTCTGACCATTTTACCCTTACTTTTGAATTGCCACACGGGTCAAACAAATCTCTTCGAAACCGCAAGCTCAACTTCAAACCGCAAGCCCGACTTCAACGTCTCAAAATTTGCAGAAAGCTTCAACGGAAAACAAAACTGGGAGTAACCGACTACGAAGAACGGCAAGGAATTTCGGACGTCGAACGAAAAGCAAATTCTGACGAAGCAATTTTAGGCAGTAGATGGCAAAGAGAAAGAAAAGAGAGAATGAGGCAGATGTTGAAAACGCAGAAAAGGAAGAAAACTCTGAAAGCGGCTTCGACACAAAGATGCCTAGTCCCAGTAAAATGGAGAAGGAGAAGGAAATTATACTTCCATTTGGCCAGGTAATTATTCAATGACTTTATTATAAAAAAGTGATATAAATTTTTCAATGGAATTATATATTCGGATATATTGTCTACAGAGGAATTAGAAGTAATGATGATGTCAAATGATGGATTAAATGTTCGTAGAAGTAATGTTGATGTCAGATGTGGAAACTCATAGACATTATATGACTTGTTCAAGTAAATAGTCAATATTTTACACGCCCCTTCTTATTTGATTTTGTGCATACATGCTTGCAACAATTAACATATCATTTATTCTATATGAGTTAAGGTATGAAGCATTTGATGTTAGATTACACAATATATGACTTGTGCTATTAGGCATTAAATTCAATTTTATAAATGGAGTATTCTTGTCCAATTATGAATTCAGTACTTATACAATTATTGATACTAATATGTCACGCAATTGTAAGATCTTGTACACACCTTGTTTTTATGACCAAGAAAAAATTAAAATTAAATCGTTATTCAAATGTGCATACTGTCATTGACAGTATAAAGAAGCTATTAAAGGAGGACCAACTTGAAGAATAAAAAAAAACACATTTCATGGATTGCTGGAAATAGGTTACCTAGAGTGGGTGAATGGACAACTTCTTGTTCTGATGGCAGAAAACCATGTCAAAAATGTTAACAAGAAGACTTGGAAAGACCGAATTTCTTTTAATATAGGAAAAAGGTTGGTGGCTTTCAGAAAGGAACATCTGGCATTAATAACGGGGTTCAAGATGGGAGGGCAGAAACCAATAATACACACAAATGTAATAGGTGACATATGGAGAGGGTTTTCAATGGAAGAAGTAATGTTTCAAGGGTTGACATAGTCAGAGCTTTTGAGGAGTTTGATAATATAACAGTAGAGAAGCAGCCTTTGGATAGGGTAAAACTGGCTATACTTGACCTAATTTGCAATTACATAATTGGAAACCAAAAGTCAGTGAAATATCTAGCAATCTACATCAACATGGTAGATAATCTTGAATTAGTGAACGAGTACCCTTGAGGAGATGAAATCTGAGAAGATTTATTGGAAAAAGTGTCTAAGAAGACAGAAAATATTAAAGCGCAAAAACAAGAAAGATTCACATTTCTAAGTTTCTTTTTGCATTGCAAATATGAGCATTTGAAAGTTTCCCAACTCTTAGAACGTCGCATGTTTGTAAGCTAGAGAAAGAAAGGAAAAATTTGTTTCCTAGATTCCTGAAGTGGTCTGCGCCAAAGGAAACAAATGTTGCAACAATGGCAGATGTCATATTTCTTAATGAAGAGGTAAAATTGTTTTCAATGTTTGTATTATATTTTATGATGTGCATTAACTTAGTGTATGCATAATTTCTCTTATGTATTGCAGTTTTAATATCAGAAAATGCTACCAACTGAGGATGAGCTAAAGAATCCATTGATAAATGCATATTTTTGGCAAAGAAGGTCAATAACATGTCAAAAGTAATCTTGCTTTGAATCATGGGCCATCAAAACAGAGAACAAATGTTTATGTGGATGAAAATAATAAAGAAGATGGGGATGTTCGTGAAAGTGGACTGAACATCAACAAAAGGAGTCTCAAGCAGAACATGTTGGAACAAAATGCCAAGGGTACAACTGCAACTAGATTACGGAGATTAAATAGTTTGATTAAAATAAGAAAACTTGTTGGTAACATAATGGTTGCAGCGGTGCTCCAATCAAAGAAGATGCAAAAGTTTGAGAGAAAAATGAAAACAATATGATGGTCCCGGATAGGGTAAAAATCTAGAGGGGGGTGAATAGACTTTTAAATCTTTTTTGACTTTATGAAGATTTTCCTCTAGAGGAGTTGATCTATAATCTTTTGAGAGATTATAAGATGCACAACGGAAGTCTTTACCCTTTATGAGAGTTTGACCACTTTCTAATTTGGAGAAGTTTGGACTTAGATACCCAGCGATTGGCCTGGCAGTTGGCTTAGCAGTTTGCTGGGAGGCAGGAAACTGTTGAGGCAACTGCTACACAAATACTAACCCTGTGATGAGAGTGGGAATGGAATATTGTTTAGGATGATGAGGGCAGTGGGACAATATCCTTTAGTTGAAAGGAAGCTACAACTTTATTTCAGCAGTGGTCTTAGCAGTTGGGTGGTACTGAGGGAACTGCTGAGCCACCTCCTTGTATTATAAACTGGGATTCGTAGCTGGGTTCAAACTGCCTTCTTACTAGAGATGTTATGAGACTGTGATGATACTTGAGATGTTCACAGGAAGTAAGATTGTATGAGCAGAGGGCTCAGCAGTTGGGTGGTCACCAGGGGACTGCTGAGGCCTCTGTTATACTTGAAGAGTGAATTCCTGGAATCTGATAGAGCGAATCTTCTAGTGATTATGTGACATTGTATAGTGTGATGAGGGCTTCCTGATTGGATACTGAGCTTGAGGATTTAAGGTGTTTTTGCCTGAGCAGAGGTCTCAGCAGTTGAGTGAAACCAGGGAACTACTGAGCCACCTGCTTCAGTAAGAGAAGTGATTTCTGGCAAAGTGTACCTTTAAGCAGTGATGTTGCGAAGCTCTTGTGAAAAGGTTATCTCAAGAAAAGGTGAGTGATTAAGCAGTAGGATAAGCAGTTGGGTCAGTTAAGACAACTGCTTAAAATGCTGCTGGCAAACTACAATTTCTTATACGAGAAGTGTTGGGTGTGTGCTTTGTTGACTAAGGAAATCAACACACAATATATCCTGGTTCAGAGGTGGTGTAATCCTCCTACATCCAGTCCCATCCTATTTCAAATGGATTTCACTAATGTATTAAGCCCAATACACTTAGTGCCAATCTAGCCTTAACAACTCTGGCCTAGATTGAAGGTGTTTCACGAGGAGTACAACACCACTCCAAGCTACTCAATCCTTTAGGTTTTTCTCAATTGATCTAGTGGGGATCAAAAGGTACTCCTGACCTATCTAACCACAATCAGGCCGGGAACAACTGTCCTCCTGAAGTGTTTACAACAATTTCTGATTTGTTACAAGAAAGTTCTAACCTCCAACTAGGAACTAAACTTCTAGGATTTTGGCAATGAATACTTGATACTGAGAAGTTTAGTGAAGCAAGAGTCTAAGCAGAGAGTCGTGGATAGAATA